CTCACTCACTCACACTCACTCACTCACTCACACTCACTCACTCACTCACTCACTCATCACACACACACACACACTCATTCATTCATATTTATGATGAATGTGTAAAAGCAGTTCATGAATTTCTATGTAATGCTGTTGTTAAATAGAAATCTCGTACTCTAAAGCTGCTCAGAGTCAGACAGGTAAGTGATTCACAAAATGAGCTGAAAAATTGGTTTAGAAACAATTTTCACTCTTGCTTGAAAATGTCATAATTACAAAGAAATGGCAAGTAATAGATTGAAATAAATGTTAATTATTTTAAGTAAAAAAATAAAAAATCTTTTTTTTTTTTGGACACGATTGAAAAGTCGTGTTTAGTCACTAGAGGCGGTAGTGTTGTAGTTCCTGTGATGAACACACGGTGTCGCTGTTTCCCTTCATTTCAGAGGTGACGATCACCTGGAGCCAGTCGTTCACAAAACTCAATCTGGATCAGAATGATCTGGATTTGGAAATCTCGTTTTTCTTTTAGATTAGATCACAATGATCCAGATACACACTTTATCAGACGACCAAATCTGGATTAAAGGTGCTCTATGGAGCCCCTAAAGGGACGTGCTGATGGAAGAAAATATGTCAATGCTTTTGTTGTTGTTGTTTTTTTTTTAATTTTTGCATTGCCTTCAAACAAGAAACTTTGCGTTCGCTCACAAAAACTACTTTTGACTGGTTCATATCGGATGATTATGCTAATGTGCTTTACATGCAGTGATTTAAACAACACTTTTTGTTCCTGAAATCCAACCTTCTTCTGGGATCAGAATAATCCTGATGTTTTGGATCAGAGGAATCCCAATCTTGCTAAAACATTTTGAACAACACAAACTGAGGATTTAATCCAGATCCAAACCAAGACTGGATTTCTCTCTGAAGTTCTCAGGCCTCTGACGCTGGAAAGGTCAACAGATACTTTTATTCAAGGCTGCATTAAATCGATCAAAAGTGTCAATAAAGACATTTAGAATGTTACAAATGTTTCTATTTCAAATAAATGCTGTTCTTCTGAACTTTCTGTTTATCTGTGAATCCTGAAAAATAAAATGCATCACAATTTCCACAAAAATATTGTGCAGCACAACTGTTTTCAACATTGATAATAATCAGAAATGTTTCTCGAGCAGCAAATCAGCATATTAGACTGATTTCTGAAGATCATGTGACACTGAAGACTGGAGTAATGATGCTGAAAATACAGCTGCGCATCACAGAAATACATTACAGTTTAACACATATTCACATAGAACACTTTTCAATAAAATGTCATTGTTTTTATATTTTTGATCAAATAAATGCAGCCTTAGTGAGTAGAAGAGACTTCTTTCAGAAACATTTGAAAATCCCTAGACTTTTGAGGAGCAGTGTATAAAACAGTCTTGCATTGCAGTGTTTTTCAGCTGCTTACACACATTTTCAAAACTCTTTTTTTTCTTTTTCAAAACTTCACACACAAATCCAAGAACTACACACAAAATGCAAAATTGCAAAATGAGTATTAGTGTATGGTTTTGCAGATTTGGTGTGTGCGTTTGCTGTTTGAGTGTCAGCTTTCAGAAACTGTGTGACGAGTAAAGATTCTGTGTGTAAGCAGCTGAAAATCAACTGTAATAACAGGAATTAATCTACTTTATTTGTTATTGTAAAATTTAAAAAAAATTGGGTGTAGAAACAATTTTCACTCAGAAATTACAAGCAAGCTCTACAACTAATTATATACAAAGAAATGACAAGTAGTGCATTAAAGTAGAAAAACTGTTTTTTTTTGTTGTTGTTGCAAAACATATTCCAGTTTTTGTTATAGTATATCTGTTACAGAGTTCATGTCACAGCATCTACATCATTTGTGGCCAGAATTTTTTTAAGCATAAGAATAATGTTCCACATACACTCTTAAAACTAAAGCTGCTTAGAAGGTGCTTCACAGCGATGCCACAGAAGAAGCATTCAGTTAAAGAACATCTCTTTCTTAGCTTTGTATAATCTGAAGAACCTTCTTTCACCACAAAGAAGCTTTTGTGAAACAGAAAGTTTAAAGGTTCTTTATGGAAGCATTTAGACAAAAAGGTTCTTCTATGGCATCACCGTGAAGCAGCTTTGTTTTTAAGAGTGTATGCATCAGGCACCACAAGCACATACTGTTAAATAAGTGAGGATCCTGATGATTTCTGTGTATTTTGATATGATTTCAGACGTCAGAAGATTCACTTCAGATGAGGATTCCTGGACGTCCGGCGATCAGCTGAACACATGCACAACAGATCCATCGACAGCAGTGTGTGATTAAATGTGCTTCTGTTCTACAAGCCCATAAAGATGTGTTTGTGTTTCAGATCACGAGCAGAGCTGAGTCGGAGTGTCTGTGAGCGCACATGAGGAAGAGGATGAGGATACAGTGATCTATTTCAGTCCTGGGATGGATAAATGACCAGACACACATCTGAAGCGGTCAGATATTTAGAGTAATACTGTACATCCATACAGTGCTGGCCAAAATCAGAATCAGAATCAGAAAGAGCTTTATTGCCAAGTATGTTTGCACATACAAGGAATTTGTTATAGTGTCACAAGCTTCCAGTACACGGAGACAACAACAACACACAGATAATAAACATGAGATGTGAATAAAATACACATGCATAAATATAAACCACAAAAAAGAATAAATAGTATGCACAGGTGTGCTATAGATGGAATAGGAATAGAATAAAATAAAAAATGATAGAACACTAGTATTCTCAGCAGCTAAAAATGGTTTTAAGTCAGTTATGTCTATCTTCTGCTGGAGTGTGTCAGTAGGAAATATCAGTTTTTGTCATTAATTGTAATAATGCAGTGAGATATATGTTAGTGCTGCACACAGAGATCTGATCTGATCATCATCAGTCTGTCTGGAGTCACATGAAGAAACAGAACAAACTGAGACAGACTCAATCCAGAAGAACTGTGTCTCCGAGACACTTCAAGTGAATATCTGACTATGACTATTGAGCTCCAAAAAGGACAAAACACCAATAAAAGAACATTTTTCAGTGCAGCAAATCAATATGAAATCTTGAGTTTTGACCTCCAAAAAATGTGTTACAGTGCAGTCTGAAAAAAAAAGTTGTAGGATTTACTTTATTACATTCAATAATTATTAATCATAAACAAATAAAATAACAAATAAGTACAAAGAAAAGGCAAGTAACTGAAATAGCGTGAAATGTACAAGTATAAAGACTGAAATAGCATTAAAATGACAGTTACAAAAGATTTCTATTTTAGATAAATGCTGTTCTTCTGCATTTTCATCTGTGAATCCTGAAAAATAAAATGCATCACGGTTTCCGCAAAAATATTCAGCAGCACAACTGTTTCATTACAACATTAAAATAAATGTGAAAAGACATTTATAGGAAGACTGAAATGAAAAGTAGATTTTTTGACTGTATGTGACTGAACTGTACTCTACTGTAAAGAGTTCATGACGGTCAGCTCGTGTTCCTCAGATAACAGCAGACGGGTCTGAGATGAAGTGATGCTGCTGAGTGAATGACTTTCATCCTTCAGAATGTTCTAGAACAGAGTTATGAACAAACATTCTTCCAGTAGAATGTTCATTTGGCTTCAATAATGTTTCACACAAAATGTTGTTTATGTATTGTTGATAGAACCTTTTAATTTTGAAACGTTTTAGTTGGACATTCCTGTAACAGTTTTTAAATGTTACTTGTTTTAGAACGTTCTTTGAAGATTTAAAAAAGTAACATTCCCATAACGTTAGAACATTTCAAATGGAATGTTCCCTTAACATTCTTAACATCTTTTCATTGCTTAATGGGAATTTTAGCACAACATTCTTCAGCACTAAAATTGGGTTGAAGTCTCTGTAGTGAGTGTGACTGATGAAGAACGTGTTTCCTGCTCATCTCGACCCAGACTGACAAACCCGTGACTAACCCGTATTACTGTAACCAAGCATAAAACAGCACGCATCACGGGATCGGAATGTTCTGTTTCAGGGACAGGGCTGGGAATCTCACTCGACATTCCTCCTCCCACAACATCACACACACTCAGATATGAAGTGATCCATAACTTCAGCAAACCATCACAAATTCCTGGGAAAAGCAGGAAGTGAGCGTGTGATGTGTTGAGTGATGATGATGATGATGATGGACACTAGGCCGTCCTGATTCATCAGAGCTCACGCGGACTGTGCTCAGAGATGAAAACACTCGAACCCATCACAGCCTCGCTGACAGACCATCAGGAATGATTCATGGGTTCATAGCAACATCCCCTCCTTCACAGAACTGAGCCCACACTGTATATCCATCATCCAGATAACATAAATATAAAAAACAAAGCCAAAAGACATCAAAAATATTTTCCTCATTTATAAACATTCATTTAAATCATTAAAGTCGTTTAAATTTAAAAAGAGGTGTTTTTTCAGATTAAATGCAAAATAAATCAATACATTACTTTCATAATCCATTCATAATCCTGTATATATATATATATGTGTGTGTGTGTGTGTGTGTATATATATACATACATATGTAATATACATGTATTGCTCTTTTGTTGGTTCTGATTACTTCTATTGTCATCATTTGCAAGTCGCTTTGGATAAAAGCGTCTAAATAACTAAATGTGAAATGTAAAATAAAATAAAAAAATACGTAATAATTTTATTATGTTGTCATTACTGGAAAGCCGGTGTTAAAATCCAAGATTAAAATGTTTTACTGAAATGTTTTACTCTCAGCTGTTATGAATGCACAGCGGGAAGGGGCGTGGCCGTTCTCTCTGCGCTTCTCTGATTGGTCACGTCAACTATTATCACAGAGGACAGGGTGGGTGGGCGGAGCCTGCGTGCATGTGGCTGTTACGAGCGGACAGCTGATTGGCTGACACGACGAAGGTAAGCGTATCCTTTAACGCCATTGGTTGTTTGTGGCGGTGGGCGGGATCTTTCGGCTGAGCTTCGTAACAAATGTAGACGCAGCAGCTGCGCTGCACAGAACACCGAGCAATCGGTTTATAGAATAGAGCTGCGTTACGAGCTAAATAACGGGCATTAAAAAAAAAAAAAAATTAATAATAATAACATTAGTAATAAATGTACATTCGGATCCTAATGGCCTGCTAATATTGATATTTTGGCGCGTTTCTGTGCGGATCGGCGGCCGTTATTGTAGCAGCGTTATTTACCTCAGAAAAACCGAACCGAACACCGCGGATATTTCACCGGAATATTACGTATTTACGGTGAGCAGGAGAACCGTTCGCCACACACCGTCACCCGCTCGGTTCACAGATCACGGGGTTCTCGGATGGAGCGGAACACCGAGGCGAGGAGTCACGGATCGCGGTCCCGGTGTGAGGAGCTCCTCCGCGGCGACGCGTCCATGAGCGTATCGATCAGCTCCACCACCGGGAGCCGCTTCGAGCTGTCCGTTCCTCTGGAGGAGACCGTGGAGGGGCTCAACCGGAGACTGTCCGAGAAACTCCGGGTTCCGAGGGAGCGACTGCTGCTGCTGCACCGAGACACGTGAGTCAGTCCGGGATCCGGTCAAACTCCGCTGCTCTTGATTCGGAGTCGGTTCTGAATCGGTTCGTTTGGTTGCTTCCTTTGGCTCGTTGAGTAATCTAGATCAGAACACCAGGGCTGATGTCTAACTAGAGGAAAATGTACATTCCTGCGAGGTTTTTAAACTGGTTTTGGAGGTGAATGTTACAGGTTTCTGCAGGTCTTAAAAAGCATTTTGATTCGTCTCTCCACAAATTAAGGCTTTAAAAGTCTTTCATTCTTAAATGTTGCATGCACTGCAAAATATGTTTTCCCAGGGCACATAATTTGAGATGCAAAATGGAGATATGAAGTCTGAGAAACTGAACAAAAGTGAGTTCATGCTTAAAACAAGAGCAAGCATCTGTGTATGGGGAATAAAACTGGTTTTCCTTTTAAATTAAGTTGAATTTTAAGCCCATTTGCAGATCTGCATGTTTTTGTTTTAAGCTTAAACTCAAGTTTTGTGATCTTAAAGGACAGTTAAGTTATTCTGTGTTTGGAGACTTGTTCAGATCACAGCGATGTTTGTTCAGAAAAGCAAAGAAACCATCTCATGAATGTCCTGATCTATCTGTCAGTTGTGGAGAAGTGCATGATGGGAATCATCCGTGACTGTGTTCTTCGTCCGCAGGAGGTTAAACTCGGGAAAGCTGCTGGATTTCGGTGTGGCTGACGGGAGCAGACTCACGCTGGTGCCCACGGTTGAAGCCGGACTGATGGTATAAAACTCTTCCTTCTCAGAAATCACAGGTTTATACATTTAAAGGCCTAAACTAAATGCTTTGGCTGTGTTTATCATAGATGTAAGCTCCTCACCTTTCAGTGACAACTCACTTTTTTCAGATCAAAATAGGTCATCTATGAGATTTGCTTAGATACTGTTTGCATCTCTGTTTTTAAGATCTCATGCATGCATTGGAGTGCATCTGTTGAGTTTGTGATGTTGTGTGTTTGCAGTCGCAGTCGTGCCGCTCGGAGCAGTCGGTCCTGCAGGCGCTGGAGACTCTCTCAGACGCTCAGGTGAAGCTCTCGCTGCGGTCGCACACTTCCACTTCTACCAGAACACGCTCATTCACAAGAACTCGCACAATCACTATTCTAATGAGTGTGCGTTTCCCACCAGCAGCTGAATATAACCAGTGAAAGACGCCCACACGTGTGAACAAATACACACGCACTCGTTCAGAATGAGCAGTGGGGGATTCTGGGTAAACGGCAGTAACGGGTCGGCGCTTTTCATGAATGTTCTTCAATGTTATGAAGGGTTTGCGTGTAAGCAAATCAAACAGCTGCTCTTTTGGCGACGAGCCCGTTTTCTGACACTCGCTATAAAAGTGACATTTGAAGTTTAACAGATCATTAACTTACGTGAACTACATTAGATAAGCAGAAACATTTCTATTTTTAAGTTTTAGCCCCTGCATGTGACACCTACATATGTGAAACCACATGTGCATATATTTCTTTGTATGTGTGTGTGTGTGTGTGTGTGTGCTCCGCCCCATCAGCGGGTCTGTGCGTCATTTTGGCAATGCTGAGCTGTGTGTGTGTGTGTGTGTGGTTAGACTGAAGAATGATAGATGATTTCCAAGAACAGACACATGGCAGGCTCTTATTATAAGCGGCTCTGAATCTCATGAAACTCGGTTATCTGCTGTTAGATGTGGTTGGTGATGCTGCAGGTATTTTTAACCTGGAAATCCTCCTGTGAAATGTGTTAGAACGGCCTGACGCTCAACCTGTCTGTGTCTAGACCACCTTCTGTGTGTGTGTGTGTGTGTGTGTGTGTGTGTGTGTGTGTGTGGGAGGGGGCTTCAGGAAGTTTGTTTTTGTCAGGTTTGAGCGTGTTTTTCTCCGTCTGGTATTTTCTGAATGAAGCAGGTCTCACATGAAGAGCGTTAGACGTTGTAACTGTTCACTGTAAGATCAGCACACGCTCATCATTGAAAACAGACCGTCTTAATGCATATTATACAATATCAATATTGTTGTTTACTTTGAAACCTTTAAAGGGGTCATATGATGCTGCTAAAAAGAACATTATTTTGTGTATTTGGTGTAATGAAATGTGTTTATGCGGTTTCAAAAAACACATTATTTTCCACATACTGTACATTATTGTTTCTCCTCGATGTACAGGTTATCGCATCATATGACCCCTTTAATCAAGTTGCTGTAACCTGTACATCACAATACAGCAGTGAATTAATTTGCAGCTTCCATGCCAACATTAATATCTGCTTAGTTTGCTCCATCCTCATGGTTTTCATCCAGGTCCTGTGGTAGGAAACCGGTCTGTTTATCACTCACGGTGATTGTAAGGATCCTCCAGTCTCGTCTTGCTGTCGAGGGCATCTCTGACCGTTCCCTTCAGCGTGATTGGAAATCATTTGCTCTTAATATCTCTGTGCGTGAGGGAGCAGACCTGCGGATCAATAGCGCTTCAGACAGAAGATGCTCTCCTAGCCACTTCAGCATTGATCTCTGGAGCTCGATGTTCGTTAACCTCAGATGCAGAATGTGGCAGCTATCGGGGAGGATGAGGAATATGTTTACCGACAGTCTCCGCCGTGGGATATGTGGGGTTTTTCGGTTGTTCGAGGGAAAATGCCACCTGAAAGCATCTGCTTTATGTTATTACTGAGAACCTTTAACATCCTGGGGCCAGTTGTTCAAAACGTTTAGTCTGGATCAGAATGATCTGGATTTGGAAATCCCATGTTTTGCGATCCAGGATCAGGTAACCCATCTTACTTTAGTGCTGGTTTTTCAAAGCAAAATTGGATTTGCACCCTGATGCAGATACACACTTTTTCAGATTTACAAATCTGGATTACTAGTGCTCTATGGAGCGCCTAAAAGTGATGGAAACAAATACCAATGTTTTGCATTGCAACTACTTCTGACTGCTCCATCTCTGATGATAGTGCCAATGTAGTTTACAATCAGTGATAAAAAAACAACAACTTTAACTATAATATTTTTGTATTTCGACCAGTTTTATTACATTTTTGTTCCTGAAATCCACCCTTCTTCTGGGATCAGAATAATAAAGTATCCCAATCTTACAAAAACGTTTTGAACAACACAAACTGAGGATTCAATCCAGATCAAAACCAAGATCGGATTTTGTGATCTAATCTGAATTCAGAAACTTATTATTATTATTTTTTTGTAACAACCTATTTTCAAGATTATATCCAATCTGATCAGATTACTTTTGAACAACTGGTCCCTGGAATCTTTCAAATGCACAAAAGGTTCTTTATGGAAAAGATTATTAAAATATTCTTCACACTAAGAAAAATATGGTTAGAGCTGTTTACCGAAAGGTTTTTTGGGAAATCAAAAATGGTTCTTCAATGGCACCTTTATTTTCAAGAGTGAACTCCAAGGTTCTTATTGCAAGCTGGCAACATTTCTGGAAAAAAAACCGGCATTTAATTACTCATTTGGCTTCATTTGACTTTACTAATTTGTCATAATAGTGCTTGGATTTGTTGCAGTGTAAAAAATGAGCACTGCACTGCAAAAACTCAGTATTTATGGTTTTTCCAGTACAAATATCTGACCATTCTTAAATCAAGATATATGTGACCCTGCAGCACAAAAGCAGTCTTAAGCAGCACAGGTATATTTGTAGCAATAACAATACATTGTATGGGTCAAAATGATAGATTTTTCTTTTATGCCAAAAATCATTAGGATATTAAGTAAAGATCATGTTCCATGAAGATATTTTGTAAATGTCCTACTGTAAATATATCAAAACTTAATGTTTGATTAGTAATATGCATTGCTAAGAACTTCATTTGAACAACTTTAAAGATGATTTTCTCAATATTTAGATTTTTTTGCTCCCTCAGATTCCAGATTTTCAAATATTGTATCTCAGCCAAATATTGTCCGATTCTAACAAACCACACATCAATGGAAAGCTTATTTATTCAGCTTTCAGATGATGCATACATCTCAATTTCGGAAAATTGACACTTAATTTTGTTTAAAACAAGATTTTTTTCCCCCCATATCATAAAATTTCATTTAATGTTTTGTTTGAAAAGACATTGAAGGGATTAAGTAATAGTTGTTAGTTTTGTTGGGCCCAGTTATAAGAACCGTAACCGGTTAAGTGCGATCAGAAGCAGGAAGATCTCTTTAAATGAGGCTGTGATGTTCTGAGAAGCAGAGCCTCGTTGTTTGCTGTTTCTCGCTCTGACTCTGCGTCTGCTGAGGGGCAGAATCACCCAAGGCGCTTCTGTGAGTCAGGAGTGTGTTAGTTTGGGGGTTTTGTGAAGTCGCTCGTATCTCGCTCACTCATCTGCATACCAGCCGCTCTGATGTACAGTAAACCACTCTAAACCGGACTCCTCAGGCTGGTGCTGTGAGACGTGATGACGTGACGCCACACTCAGAGCTTCTTGTAATCAAGGGTTGGGTGTTTCCTCCTCGTTTGCTGATTTCCAAACCGTTGTTCAGTGTTCACTGCGCAGGCGATCTGTGATCCGTCCGGATTCACGTCACAGTCCACCTCCTCTAGTCTGAAGACTTTACTACAGAGCTTCTCTAAGGGCTTTACTGCAGGATATTCATTTATGAAGCAGTGACAGTCAAACAAAAAAACATATCTTCCTTTTTAGAAGTTAAGTCTTTAAAAGATGTTTATTTTAGTCTATGCACCAATATATGGTTTATTATTTGCATTAGTCACTCTTTACAAGAGCGTCATCAATTCATTAACTAACAATCAGCATATCTGATTAGCTATGAGCTAAAAGCTAACTGAGACTTGTTACAGCACTTGTGTATCATTGCTCTTTTGCTGGTTTTGATTGCTTCTATTGTCTTCATTTGTAAGTCGCTTTGGATAAAAGTGTCTGCTAAATGACTAAATGACAAAATGTAAATATCTTACAGCATTTATTAACCTTTCTTAATGTTATTTAAAAATGCTTATGTTCATGTCAATTTGTTATTAGTTTTTGTTATTTTAAATAAATTTTAATATTTAATGGTTTTATTCAAGTTTAAGTTTTAGTAATTTTGTTGCGTTTTTGTTTTTTTGTAAATGTCAATAGTTTATTATTTTTATTTCAGTTTTACTTATTTTAGTACATCAGATTAAAGTAAATGAAAATGAGAGATCTTTGTGTTCGATTAAAATAGCTGAGATATATAAAAAAAATAGTAACGTGTGTGTGTGTGTGTGTGCATATATACACACACACACACACACACACACGTGTATATTATATTAATATATTATAATATATTATAATGGTTTTTGTTAACTATAATAACCCTGGTTCATGTTACTTCTCAATGCATGAACTAATGGTAACAAATACAACTTTAGATTTTACAAATGTAGTAGTAAATGTTGAGATGAACATTAACTACAGTCCGCATGCTGTAGAAGTGTTGTTCGTGTTAAAGTATGTGAACGGATGAATGCATACTGCGATGTGTGGCGTTCTCTGCTTGTTGGTTTGTTGTGACGCATCAGTTGTGTTGCACTGCTTTGCAAAGTACCAGCCCACAGTTTCTGAGAATGAAGTTTCCCAGACTGCTGTGCTGCTGGTCTTCACCCACTCCGGTGACTGATATCAGAGGCTGAAGCGTCACACAGGCCCACTTCAGTTCCCGAGCCCAGCACACAACACCGGACCCTGCAGGGCTCCACACTCATTCTTATCACTGCTCGCTCTTTTGCGACTGACTTTCTCAGCTGGTCGCACGAGCACATGATTTGGTCGCAATATTTTATTTTTTATTTTTTGGCGCTACAACATGGGATTAATCAATGCATGCTGACGTACTTTTATCATAGTTTATAGTTATATGGAAATGAAAGTGGTTAACATTCAACCCGTTCATTTTCATCAGTATTTGTGATTTGATTTTGTGAACGGGAGTTCCTCTTTTGCCGTGTTATAAGCCGGGCTTCGGATGCTTTCACTTTCGAATTCGCGATCACGAGATTTTACGAGAAAAGATAATTGTCTGTTTTGCTTGCATACATCTACACACCTTTCACTTTTTAAGACTAAAACAAAATATGGATTCATTGTTATTCTTAATTTAAGAGCACAACAACAATAAAACGGTAGGATACAATGACAAACTAGCTTACAAAACGTTTATTAACAAAAACGAATAAGATGAGGCATGGCACACACCGCATGCTGTATTATATACAGACTAATAAATTACAGAAAGTTTAGCAAACACAGGAATGTGGTTTGGGCGATGCATGTGAAACCTCAGAGTCTGGGATGTTGGTTTCTCTGGTTTGCTAGTGCTCTACATCCAATGCAATGAACGCATTTATTGTTTGGCTGCTCGCTCTGAGCCACAAGTAATTTATAAAATATGAAAATTAATATATTCAGTGGCTTCTCCTACTTGTCTTAGTGATATTTAGTGCCAGTTTATCAGGAAGTGATGATTTTGTTCTCTTTGACTCGTTGGATTCTTATTCGCAAATGTTTTATGCGATATTCCAATTTTGCGCACAAGTTAAATTCGCGTCTTTGGATGGAAACCCGGCTTGTGACTCTTAATCTTACAATTTTGCATCAGTGCGTTACACTTTTGTACCCTTGTTTATTTTGATTGTGTGCATTCACAGGTTCACAGACAAAAGAGAAGCGAATGGATATCGAAACAGGCTTTTTATCCCAGTTTCAGTCGTGATCTCATTATTCCAGTTTGAGGTGTATTTAATATCAGGAGGCGGTTCTGCAAAACTGATGTTCTTATTCTTTATTTTTTAGTTTTTCCAATACCAATATCTAAGCTTTTTTTTTTATTTAGTTACATTGAGTTGATGCGCGATGACATAAGATGTCATAAAATGAAATTAAAATTAATATAAAAATATCTGCAAATGGGGTCAGAAAAATAAACATAGCCCAGTATTATTTTTGTCTTGTTGTCCAAATACCAATATCTAAGCTTTTTTTTTAATTTAGTTACATTGAGTTGATGCGCGATGACATAAGATGTCATAAAATTAAATTAAAATTAATATAAAAATATCTGCAAATGGGGTCAGAAAAATAAACATAGCCCAGTATTATTTTTGTCTTGTTGTCCAGTATAAATATCTAAACATCCTTAAATCAAGATACATTTACTGGAGATTTTTGTTTTCTGAGAAAATGGAATCAGAAAAATTATCTTGTTTTCCCTTTGAATTAAGTTTATTTTTCTGTCCCCATTGGCAGGTATTTGTTCTTGTTTTAAGCATAAACTCACTTTATTAAATTTCTCAGAAAACTAGACATCTTGTCTGATTTAATTTTGCTTCTCTAGTTAATGCATAAGTAATAAGAATGATTTTTGCAGTGATGTCGGTACCCGTTTGATTGTCAGAGTCAGAAGATGACGTGCTACTAAATTAAACATGCAAGTCTCATTAACGTCTGTTAATTATCTTGTTTTGTGTGCAGGTCAGTGACTTCCTGTCGGGACGGTCCCCGCTGACCCTTGCCCTGCGTGTGGGCGATCACATGATGTTTGTGCAGCTCCAGTTGGCAGCTCAGGCGTCTGGAGGACAGCCGTCCATTTCCAGGGGTCCTACGGGCCCCAACCAGATGCATACAGGGGCCGTCAGCAGTGGAAACCCCTCAGACTCACAGCAGCGGGAACAGGACGTCTTCTCTGCCCCGCCCTCATCTCAGGATTGCCACGCCCACAGCACTCAAAGCCCTGCCCCTGCTCTTCACTCACAGCATGTTTGCCACACCCACAGCACTCAAAGCCCCGCCCCTGCTCCGCCTTGCATTCAGGTAAGACACGACTGTAGAGCTGCTCCAGTCTTTCCTGTCAAACTGTTTGATTCATCTTTTATTGTATTTATTTTATAATGCAAAATTTGTTTTATAATGCAAAAATATTGGCCTTAAATAGGCAGCAGTAATGTGTTACAGTGGATTAGCAATAAATGTTTAAATACACATTCTCACAAGTATAGAAACAGCACTAAAAAATTATATTTATAAGAAATTTCAATATATTTTCAATATTTCTTATTCCATTATTTTTATGGGTTATCATCACTAAAACTTAAACTAAAATTAAAAACATTAAAAAATGTTAGCTACTTGAAATGAAATAAACCTTAACTGAAATAAAATATATCAAAAACTTTTATTTCTGCTAGTTGCCAAGGCAACAAGTTTATCTTGATGTACTAAAATACTTGGCACTAAAATAACGCTTAAATGCTAAAATAACTAAAACTAAATAAACAAACATAAAAATTAGGCATTTAAAAAAAATCTAATCAGAATTACTAAACCTTTAACTAAAATTTAAATGAAAACAATTAAAAATCTGATTTAAAATATTAACAAAAACTATAATAATATATTAACGATTATTCATGATTTAATGATAATGAATTTCAGGCTGAAGGCAGCAGACAGCGATGCAAACCCGGCGCCGTCATCGAGAGCCTGGTCAATCATTCGCCGGGAGTTTTCTCAGGAACCTTCTCAGGTAAAGCGTGGCTTCATCAGGAGAATTACAGCATAACAAGCGTCTGGTCTCGACCTCACGCTGACCTCTGCCCTCTGACCTCAGGTACTCTACACCCCACCTGTCAGGACAGCAGCGGGGATCGTCGCCGTGACGTCAGCACCATTCTGCAGATCCTCAACGACCTCCTGAGCGCCACACGGCTTTACCAGAGATCTCCTCCGACGCTGACGCACCTCCGCTGCCCTCCGACCTCACACACACACACACCTCCACCCTCACCTACCTCAGACACACGCACACCTCCACCCTCGCCGACCTCAGACCGGCCGCAGCCACAGCCACAGCCGCATGCACACCTGTGCAGGCCCTCCGGTGAGTGTGTGTGAGAGTGAGTGTGAGAGATTCTGTGTGTGTGTGTGTGTGTGTGATTCCGTGTGTGTGATTGAGTGTGTGTGTGCATGTGTGCTTGCGTTTTTGTGACAAATGAGGACATAAATTTGTATAATGACAAAGGTATGACATAGGTATTACAAGGAGAAGGTGACTTTTCAGGACATTACCCCATGTCCCCACTTTTCAAAACGCTTATAAATCAATGGGATGTCCCCACTTTTCACAAAAACAAACCTGAGTGTGTGTGTGAGTGTGTGATTCCGTGTGAGTGTGTGATTCCGTGTGTGTGTGTGTGTGTGTGTGTGTGAGTGTGTGATTCCGTGTGTGTGTGTGTGAGTGTGTGATTCCGTGTGTGTGTTTGTGTGTGTGTGTGTGTGTGTGTGTGTGAGTGTGTGTTTTCCTGGCAGCAATTCATTGAGTTGCTGCAGAGAGATCTATATGCACACACAGGAAGGGGAAGTCATATTCTGACTCGAGAGTTTTTTCTAACTTTACACACTTCTCATTTTCTCCGATTCATTGCTCTGTGTGTGTTTGGTCATTTGTGTCTCGATCTGTAACATTCAGCATCAGATCAGATTTAATACAAACACACACTGCTTCATCAAAGCTCAAACACACCTCTGAATCTGATTGGACAAGACGCTATGAAGAAATTATACACTCATGCATCTGTAAACCATTACGCTGATGAACTAGAAGAATGTTTATTAACTGTGATTATTATTTTTAAAATTCTTAATATTAATAAAAATGATAATCATGTCACATGCAATACAGATTGTTTCAAAGCGGCTTCACAGAGAAAAACAGGAAAATTAATATTGTTTCATACAAATAAACACATTAAAAACAAAAACTACTAAAGCACTATGGGTGGGGCCTAAACAATGTGACATCACACTGCATGAGAATCAAAACGGCAGGCCTACTGAAACTGACTTGGTTTAAAGGGAATTAAAAAATGAGGAGTGGGTGGATTTTTATCATTGTAGGCAGGGATGGGCAGTATTTATGATACATGTATTTCAAATACGTATTTCAAATACAAAATAGTATTTTGTAATTTGTATTTGATAGGGTTGATGAAAATGGCTTCGTATTTTGTATCAAAATACTTTAGTGTTTTGTATTTTTGTAGTTTTAAAATACTGTAAAATACTTTGTAAGAAGTCTACATGATGACATCATAAAAATGCGGCCTCTGATGGGTGCCTACCATAGACTGTATAAAAACATGGACGTAGTGTCCGTGACGTCACCCGTAGATTTCCGAAGAGCGT